TGGAGGGTCGGCACTGTCAGCTGATGTTTCCGCGCAGCGCTGGAGCGGGGAGTGGAGGGGCGGCACTGTCGGCTGATGTTTCCGTGCAGCGTTGGAGCGGGGAGTGCAGGGGCGGCACTGTCGGCTGATGTTTCCATGCAGCAGTGTACCTGTGGGGTTGAGATCTTCAATCACCGTGGAGCTGATGGAGATTTGGTGGAATCTATTTAATAGACTGACAAGCTGTGCTGCCCCTCTACTCCGTGCTGCCCCAAGGCCATGGCCTCGGTGGCCTTGTGTGTAATCCGGCCCTGACTGCAGGGCTGCCAGGGGACACCAACACATCATGTTACCGACTTTCAGTAACACATTTCCATGTATATTAAACGGTGTGGATTGTCACCTTGCCTAACATTGCCACTCGTCTGGCTCCCTATTGTTGCTGCTCTTGCATAGTTTGGGGAATTTTGCTGCTGGAATAGTGCACTATGTACTTACACCTCACTCATTCCATGCACCTGAAACGTAATTGCTAGCGGAATCCTACTCTCCTAGCCCTTGGTTTTAGGTGTACTGACCAGCGGTGAAGCTAGACATTCGGTCACCCGGAGCAAAGGCTCAGAGTTTCTCCCCCCTCCCCAAGGGAGAAGTTCTCCAGCCACGCACCCAGTGGCGTCTTCCTAAAGTGGCGCCCGGGGCACATGCTCCTAGTTTCGGCCCTGGTACTGACTCACGCTTCTTCATGTCTTGTGTGTCTATGACTTGCTATCTTTCTAGTAGGACGCTAAGGATGGCCAATCAAAAAGAGTAAGATGGATGAGTGACACAAGATAATTGGCCTAGAAGCAGGAAGTATAATCCCGGCACCAATCTATACTAGTGAATTGGTAAAGAGCAATGTATAATAAATGCTTCAATTAAACCGAGCAAGATAAAAATAATTGTATTTTTATTAATCAGAGGGAAAAAAAAAATTGACTCACTCTAAGACGAGAAACAGTGGAGCCAAGTGACCTTGCATAGCACCACCAGGAATGCTGCTGTAACAAAATGCGAGAAGCGACAGTTACTTTAACGCCATTCAACTTTTCAGGATTGCTAAAAAAAATGGCTGCTAGCACACACAATGCAGCGGCGTGGCCTCTTTCAAGTTAGAGGCCCATGGGAACGCTTAGCTACTTGACGCTTATGACTCCATTGGCTCATTGAGCATTAAACCAAATATCTGTATTATTTTCAAAGCATCATTTATAATGAAAATGACTGATTTGGGATAGGAAAATATTTTGGCAGCCTCCTATCATTAGACTGCCCATCTGTAGCCTACCGAAAGGTGCATTTTAAAAAGACTCATACGCTTTAATGATTTTTTTTTCCCTTTTTGCCGCAACGTAACTTAGCAGATGTTCTTAGAGCAGGAAAAAAAAAAAGTTAGTACAAAAGAGATCCAGATGCGAAATTCTAAGACCTATGTTAATTTTTTTTTTTTTTTTTTTACTTTTTTTTTTTACTTTTGTTTCTTTTTTTTTATTTTAAGTGAGCAAATTATTCATTGCAGCTTGAAATTATTAATCATCAGCACTGGTGATTTCTTAAATAGCTAAGGATTATTTAGAAGTAGTAATCAACGTATTAAATTAAACATATTTGACACCAAAGATACTCATTTAGAATAACAATGGGGAAGAGACGTCTACAAAAGAAGGATTCGATAAAATGTGAATGTTGTCAACGACAAACATTTCATTTATGTAAAAAAAAAAAATGCAAACCTTTTTCCCGAACGCTTCCCTCAAATAATTTTTTTTTTGTTTTATTGAAACAAACAT